ACTCCTCAGCTGGTGAAAAAAATTAAAAATGTCGTAGAGGTCTTACTGTCTGCAATCCACGACTGCAATTAAGTGAGAAATAGGAGTGAGGAGGATCCAATTCAATCCACGTAAAAGTCATTGACAGTAATGGAGAATACTCTTGACTTAAATTGTTCAATTGTTTTTATTGCAATAATTTTTGCCTGGTGATCAATGTAAGGCAACAATATTGCAACGTTAAATACTCAGTCACAGTTTTCAGGGAAGTAACTTTCCAAAATGTCGAAGGCCTTACCGAGGAGGGTCTGCCATTCCTGATCTTTTTCCGCGACAAAGAAAACAAGGAACATGACAAACTTTTCATCGATGCGGTGAGATTATTATGGAAATGCTTTGGGGAAGGGAAGAGAAGGGAGAGTATTTTGAGTGTATGCTGATATCAAGAGTCATGAACATAAGTATTCATTCCTTGTGCCATGGCCCTTATCTTGACGTGAAAAATTTGTGTCCGAATCCATAGGTTAACCCGCATCATGTACAATAATGTGGAATAAGCAGATTTCGCAATGTGACTCCCACGAATGCAAAGTCGAAGTCGCTATCTTCCCGCACACTGCACGCAGGGCTTGCTCATTCATTTTTTCCGCTTTCTTCACTTCTTCTCCCAGTGATTCACACTAGGATGACGAACTCGGTAGAACGTAATTAGGGATCACTGCGAAATGTGAGGTTTAGGTTGGCTATTCCTCGGTGCTAGCAAAGTCGGGCCGCTGGGATCGGCACCACTCATAGATCTTTTCCAGACAGGGTGAAAATCGTGTCGAGGACGTGGTCACATCAGTACGACCCCCCCTCAGATCGGGATCTTGATACGACCCCTCTAACTTTGATTTGATGTGAATAAGCGAGTTCCATCAATGTACAGCAAAGCATTCAGTTGCAGCGCGGTTTATCCGTGGGTCAGATTTGCCGAAACCCCGCTCGAAACCGTCGAAATCTACACTCTCGATGAAAAGGTTCCATTCCCCCATTTCATAACCTTTGGAGCAGTATGTGGTAGGGTTAGATAGAGCTGGATTTGCTACTACCGGGCAATATTGAAATTGATCTAAAAGCTTTACACTCGAAGAGATAGGGTCTCTCAAATTTTGTCGAGGCAGCGTCGAGGATGCTGAATTTTTCATGCGAGTTTTTGCCACTTAAAAGGCAATATCTCTCTAATTTCGTAAGATCTTGAAAAAAGGAAGACAGTTTTGGAAAGCGGAAGGTTTGCGCTTTCTAACAGTCTGTTTAGCTTCCTTCTACATTTTCTAGTTGAGGAGATATTTGCGTCGAGGATCTATCGAGGATGATTCTCGGCCGCTCAAAAAGCCGCTCCCTTCTTCACCATTGCAAGTGTAATTCGTTGGCAACGCTCGAAATGTGTCTAGAATACATTCTTCCAACGTAAGCGACAAGAAAAGGGGCAATCGTCATCGTCCGATCTCGTCTCAGTATAGGCCATGCATCCGACCTCCACTCAAGTTGTAGAATCTATTGAAAGGTGTTATACATATGATGATGACCTGTTGACAGAAACTGTATTGTAGTAAACACATTTCGTAACTCCTGTAACCTAAGGAACAGCTTCATTTGCCCAGGGTCTTTCCAGAACTATTGCCGTTTTTGCGACAGCGTCCCTAACAACAGTGTCATTTCAACGAAGCAGTGAGGGCGAGGGAGCGGGCTGTAGATAGTGGAAATACCTTCGTGCACATGTGGTCTCGTTCCTTGCGAAGATGCACTTTCATTCTTCAAATACTTCCTTCTTGAAGGTAGAGTGACGGAGCGGCTGAACCTGGCATAGAGGAACGGAGCGACTGAACCTGCAAAGAATATTTTATATCATGTTTTCTCACATATCCTTGTTTTCTGCTGCGCTACACCCTCTTACTCCTATCTGCACCACGATGCCACTGATGTTACTGACCCCCAAGAGTACGACCCCCATGACCCAGCCCGACAGGTACGACCCCCCTGTCGAGGATTTCCTCGACCGATATTCACCCTTTCCAGAGTGAGACTTGGGCCGAGCTTTTACCTTGTTTGACTCGCGTTTGCGGGTTTGTTGATCACCACAGGAATCAGCAAAGAAGCTATGGCGTCTCGCCACCAAAGGTGATGCTCTTTCAAACCAATGGTCAGAATGCAATCGTTTTCACTATTGCGGACGCTCGCAAGCTAAAACTTTCTGTAGCAATAAAGGATGAGGTGTGTTATTTCGCTGCAGCGGGTCAGCAACCTTTTGCATTTTTCGGCCCTCTGCTGCGCGTGCGCCACATAGCGCATGAGATGGCACTTGTGCATATGATAGATGCGGCTATGTAGCTTTCAATGGCCATCTGCCTCATCGACAATTTCGAATCGTCCAGGTTCCTTTGCTGATATTTTGAAGGAGCATCGTGGGTTGCGGTCAATTAAGAGAACGGAATATTTCAGTCACCCTTTCTCTAGAATGGCTGCCTTTCTCCTACTTCGCTCTCATGCATAATGGACACTGTCCCCTTGTCGTTTGCTAGTCTACTGTACATCCCTAATAGGAACAGCAAGCATATTCGGCTCTGTCCTTCGTTAAGGCCCTGCCCAGTGCATTAGAATGATAGCAGGTCGCACTGAAAACCTTTTGCCAAATTAGAAATAGTAGATTTAACCCCAGCGATGAAGCCGATCGCAAGGCCTTTTTCAAGCCATACAAATAGTCAGCCAATGTAGTAAAAATTACAGATAACTTCACTCGCTGAATTCTATGACTTCTGGGCCAATAATTTTGGGACACCCTTTATTAGTATGACCCCTTCGTTTTCTTATTCAGGTCGTTCGTGAGCTGTACGGTACACGTATGACAATCAACCCGTTGTTAGCCGATGGCCGTGTGTTCGCTCACCCGCTTCAGCATCTTGGTAAAACCTTCCAGGTATTTCAGTTTCAAGGCTGTCCCCTCTTGAATACTTGAAAACACTGTTATGAGCGCATTTATTTCTAATATTTCGTAGGTATGGTCATTATCGTTCCACGATTTCCATTTTTTTAACAATAAATACGTTAGTTCGCGGATGCGATTACCTTAGGCTGGAATGCAATGGAAAAATGCAAACGCAAACTATATTAGATGAATAACACATTTTTCTTTCAGGATCTGCCGGTTCTGGCGATCGACTCTTCGTGCACATGTTCGTCTTCCCAAATATCTCTGAACTGTCCAAACCAGGTGTTCTCAAAGCAGGTTAGCATTCTCCATTTCACAATAGTCATTGAAGGAAAATCGGAGTGTGTTTTAAGGGAAACGTATTCGTTATAAGGTTGTTCCATAAGTAATGTCGCTTTTTTCAAACACAAAATTTTCTGCCACAATCCAAGTCCTCTCACCACGTGGTATGTATTCATTCAAAGGAAATTTTTCAGCTTCACAGAACGATATGTTGCACTCCCTCGTTCATTGCAGAGCTTTTAAACTTTATCCCTGCAAAATGAACGGTCCAGTCCACGTAAACATCTTAACCAACAATTGGCTCTAACTTATCCTCCTAGGTGTCCCTAGGAGAAATCTATCCATGATGCATCTTACTCTGTCGTGATGTCTTCTGAAGACTTCCCAAAAGTCGTTCCCTTTTCAAATTTGGTTTTTCCGCTAGAACTCAATGGTTTGTTGGGCAGTAGGTCGTCAAATGTAGATTCCGAACATTTTTGTAGCCAAGGCCTCAAAAATAAAAGAAGTGTCAAGAAAAAGTAACAAAACGTCTGATTGATGTTTCTTTTTTTGAAGTGATGTGCTCATTTTCGTGGACTGTGCATCGCATCACATACGCCTGAAATTGACATGATTCATAATGAAATTTAGCATAAAACACATATCCAGACAGAGCAGAAAAAAGCACTGAATAAGACCTCACTTGGTATAAAACAGTTGGATTCAGAGAAAAAATTTGGTTCAAAAACCACTATGGCTTAGGCTCAACCAGAAAAGCCAAACACGAAAAGAAATAAGGCGTTTTTTTTTCAGAGAAAGAAAGTGGATTTCAGAGTCACGGGGAGATGGGAGGTCATGTCTGAGTAGACGGTACATCATTGATCGATTTTCCTAGGGGACCATTAAATTAGAGCAAGCTGTTGGTTTGGCAAGTATATCGCCTACTGGATCTCCCATTTCGAGACTCAATAAACTCAAAGTGTTTGCAAAGGGTGTGGAAGGGCAACATACAGCAAATTACTCTCCAAAGGTATTTGACACGATGTCAAAGCATGAGATTTTATCAAGAAATTTCTGTTTAAAGAAAGCGGCACTACTTATGGGAGCCTAATAATAGGTACATCGACCTGCTGAACTTACTGCAGTCTAGCGTGGTTCTTTTCTTCCACTGCGGACATCATTTATATTTGAAGGGTCTCTAGAGAAGCTGATTTGTTGAAAGGCGCGCATTGCAGGCCTATAGCGGCACCAATCTGGGCCTATTTGTTGCCATACATATATTTACCGGATTCGCTGAATTCCACATTACTACAGGGTGGGCAAAAATTACGGTAACAAGATAAAGTGTTCATGGAAGAGCAATGCGGCCAGGAAGACACACGTGGACCACCAACAATGTATTCATAGGAAGTTACCAAACAGAATACAACATCACTTCTTGGACTGGCCGCTGTTTGCGTTTATACCTGAAGTGAAGTCATCTCGGGAACGCATCGGCCTGTTGTGTAGGTAGGTGACATCGAGCTTTACCCTAGGATCTTCTTTAATTCGTCGATGCTTTAGTGATACTCGTAGTAGCCCATCGTCTTCAGTAGACTCCACGGAAAATAACCCACTTGCTTTAAAATGGGAAGAATAAGGTTGCCACTCGTTTAATGTCATGAATTCGGAAAGTTCTGCAAAACCAATGTTGCACAATATTTGCTTTGTGTACAGGCGGTCTATCTTGCTGTTGTGTCCAGTGATTTCCTCTCGGTGCCTCAATGTTTCGATAACAGACGCGAGATTCATTTTAGCGTTACCAACATGAGACATATTTTTTGTTCGTTTGGGCCATCTTACACACGACCAAATACAAAGCTCGGGAGGCGGGGCTTCCGA